TATTAACTATCAAAACTGGGTTTATAAGTGACTAATTTTGTGAAGGTTTTTCAATTTAGTGTCTTAGGGCATGTAATAAATATATATTTTTTTTGCATTTAACATAATTTTTTTTTTGCATCAATTTTACATTAAATAGATAATTGCTTACCTTGATTTTTTATTTGATCAAGAATAATTATCCCCCTAACTTAAGTTAAGGTTATTGTCCCATTTTAAATAGTTAATACTACACCCTTTTAATGTAATTGCTTATTATATCCTTACATTACATTTTTTTCTTAAAATTTTACATATTTTTGTTTCTTAATAAATTAAAAAGTATAATAGTCAATTAAAATAAAAATATGTAATATTAATAATCAAGAGTGTGGCAATAACATCACCCCTAACTTAACCTATACTAGAAGAACTTTGGTTAAAAAGTTCCCTTTCTACTATTTTTGTCATGGTGAAGCACTATCTTATGTTTATCTTTTTAGCTTAATTAAAGGTAAATTATTTACTATAAGACTAAAAACTAAAGAATTATCATTAATTGATTTCTCCAAAAAAAATTAAATGCTGATAATAAGGTAAATAAACAAACAATTTTACCAACTACTGTACCATCCCTTGCATCAATTCTTTTTTTCTCATATAACTATGTATGTGGTTAAAATGACGGAAGAAAAGCTAATGCACCATATAATTGTTGAAAAAGTCACTATGGGGCAAAAAATGAAAAAAATAATAATCAAGAAACAACACAATAATTGTGAAACATATGGAGTAAGCTAGTAATTGCAAGTTTTTTTAGTAATAACCCTAATCATAATTATCATTACTAATCTACACTTAATGGGGGTAAATTCCAACTCCCAGTACTCGGCGTTTAGGCCCACTGAGTTTGTATCACTATTCCCTTCGCCCAAAAATTGTAGTAACATGTTCAAAAAAAAAAAAAAAAAAATCCGAAGTCCCAAATTCCCACAATTCTCTTCCTATTTTTAGCCGTGTTTGTTATATAAAGTAACTTTTCAATATTTATCCAGAAAAGGCTAGGGATAATTTAAATTTTTTACATTTAAGTTCTATAATCAATAAAGAGTAAAATTGACATTTTTAATATTATTTTTACTTACATATTTCTTATTAAGTAATCTTTTTTTAAGATTAAACCTTCAATTTGGTCCTTTAATTATTATACAAACCTCTAATTTGGTTTTTAAACAAAAAAAATCCTTGATTTGGTTTTCACTATTTACCAATTTAACTTCAAATTGGTCATTCCATATAAAAATAACTAATGTATCTTATTATTAATGTGACAAGTGGCCATTATATAATAGGTTTTTTACTATTAAGTAACAGATATATCAGTTATTTTTTTAACATAACAAAATGACCAACTTGAGGCTAAATTAGAAAATAATAGAGACCAAATTATGAATTTTTTTAGTTTATGGATCAAATCAAGAGACTAAATTAAGCATTTAACCTTTTTTCTGAGTTTCTTTTGATGAAAAAACTCCTCTTTTTTTTTTCTCAATTTTTCTAATATGAAATTCACCTAACAATTTTCTCCAACTTCCTCAATATCAAACCTCATATTAAATATGAAAAATCAACAATTTAACTAAATTTTAACAAAATTTCATTATAATACTTAATCAATTTTTTATATAATAATTTCTCAATTACTTTCCTAATAAAATTCTCCCGTAACTAAAGGAGTCTTAGAGGAAAGATGAGAAAAATTAGGTGGAAAGAACCCCTCATTCTCATAGTTAGCATCAAAATTTTCCATTCTCAGTTCCTCACCACCTCCAACAAATCCCTAACTAAAACTAAATTCCTCTCCCCTTTCTCTCTTCCACACAAAACATCCTTGTCCTGGAATAAAGGGTATGCATCTCAAAGCCCCCAAATTCAAAGCATTCCAGCCAATCAGATTCATTGCAGGCATAAATTTTAGGTACACGAAATTTCCTCCCATTTTCCACGCATGTTCAACAATTTTGAGTTTTGTCCAAGCATACAAGGAAAAATAGAAAATTCCAAACCCCACCTCACCGAATTTTGACCCATTTCATTAATAATCATAGATCTTTTGACTCTTCTTTGATCTAAAATTGGAAACCCCATTATCTTTCTCTTTCACAAATGCTTCATTATTTATCAAACAAAATCACATCTCGATCTTTCTCATCTGGTCTCTGCAGAGCCATTGAAGGAACCATATAAAAAAAAAAGAAAAAACCCAAAAGAAGAACCACCACCAACCCTTCTTGACGAGAACAGAGAAGACTCCCATTTACTCAAACACATTGAAAAGGAGCTAGCGAAAGAGAGAAGCCCCATTTTCCCCATTTTCTTGCCTTCTCTGCAAGCCCACCTCAATCGCATCTAGAAGCAGAATAATCCTCAATTCTTGAATACCCATTTCTTCAAACCCTAGCCCATATTGAAATCCTGTGCCTTTTTTCAAGAAACTAGAATCTGTGGCTTCCCAGAGGTAATGTTAAAAAAAATGTCGCATCTTGACGACATTCCTTCGACTCCTGGCAAATTCAAGATGGAAAAGTCACCGTACATTCACAACAGACTCAGGTGGCAATCCTCCATTGCCAAGCTTACATTTTGGTCCTTTATCTTCCTGGGCCTGATCTTGGTCTTCTTCTTTCGATCTCCGTCTTCCAACCCCCTTCCTCAAGATCCTTCTCGCCGCTCCCTCCGAACCGACAATTGGGGCGGATCCGCTTGGGAGAAGCGGGTACGGTCTTCTGCGCGGGTCCGGTCGAGAAACGGCATCTCTGTGTTGGTTACGGGAGCCGCCGGTTTCGTTGGCACCCACGTGTCGGTGGCTCTGAAAAGACGCGGAGACGGTGTTCTTGGGCTTGACAATTTCAATGACTATTATGACCCTTCATTGAAGAGAGCTCGGCGAGCTCTTTTGGAACGTTCTGGAGTGTTCATTGTGGAAGGGGATATCAATGATTCGGCTCTTTTGAAGAAACTTTTTGAGGTTGTGGCGTTTACCCATGTGATGCATTTGGCTGCTCAAGCAGGGGTCAGGTATGCCATGGAAAATCCAAGCTCTTATGTTCATAGCAATATTGCTGGACTTGTTAGTTTGCTTGAAGTTTGTAAGTCTGCTAACCCACAGCCTGCAATTGTGTGGGCATCTTCGAGTTCAGTTTACGGGCTTAATACAAAAGTTCCTTTCTCAGAGAGAGACAGGACTGATCAGCCTGCTAGTTTATATGCTGCAACTAAGAAAGCTGGTGAAGAGATTGCACACACTTATAATCACATATATGGACTTTCTCTTACTGGATTGAGGTTTTTCACTGTTTATGGTCCTTGGGGGAGGCCAGATATGGCATATTTCTTTTTTACTAGAGATATTTTGAAAGGAAAATCTATTCCCATTTTTGAGGCAGCCAATCATGGCACGGTGGCCAGAGATTTTACCTACATTGATGATATTGTGAAGGGGTGTTTGGCAGCATTAGATACTGCAGAGAAGAGTACAGGTAGTGGAGGGAAGAAGAAGGGGCCTGCTCAGTTGAGGGTATATAATTTAGGGAATACTTCACCTGTACCCGTTACACAGCTTGTGGACATCTTGGAGAGGCTTTTGAAGAGGAAAGCTAAGAGGAATATTATGAAGTTGCCACAGAATGGGGATGTTCAGTTCACTCATGCTAATATTAGCTTGGCTCAAAGGGAGCTTAGCTATAAGCCCACCACAGATCTGCAGACAGGATTAAAGAAATTTGTCCGGTGGTACCTCGGTTACTATTCTGGTGGAAAGAAAGCTGCTGGGTGATACATTCTTTCTGAATTCTCGTTCATTATGATTCTTATCATTGCTTTTAACATTTGTCTGTTGATTGCCCAATTATAGTCATTTCATATATATCTTTAATGATAGTACATAAGGAGGAAGATGTTTCCTGCATACATTGAGGAAGTTTTGTGGTTTGCTGGGCAGTCTCAAGCTTGTATCAAAAGAAACCAGAGCCTTGTTCCTCCCCTTCCCTTTTTCTTTCTCTGGAATGTCATTGTTGTAGTTTCAGCGTTGTAGAATTCATGACTGATATATAGAGCATATGCTAATTGGTGGACATGTATCATTGCTATGCAATGCCAATAAAATAACACCTCATAATGTGTTTTTTTTTAATGTACTCATTTACCAGATACATCAAGCTGCTATTGCCTAACAATTTACCTTATATATATACATATATATATATATATATATATATGTAGAAGAGGAGGTTTGTGTATTAATGATTTTCGCAATATACTTGCCTGTATCTTTGTATATAACTTGTTGATGTCGATGGCATTGCTGATGTTGTTCCATTTTACTTTACCAGTTAGATAACTATCCTCCTTTTACTTGAAAAATTTTTCCTTTTCAGAGGGAAAGGTAGATTGGATCTTCTGTGTTGCATTTAGTCATTTAGTCATGCATTTATCTTCTATTATGTATATTTTATAGTAATTTATATATCAGAAGTGGATGGGAATGGGAAGATATGATTCCATATATAGAGTTTGGTCACACCAGTTGGATGAATTTAGTCTCTAAATTTTCAACTTGTATTTATCTATGTTCTTTAAAAGTTTAAGTTTCATTTAATATAATTGTGATTGTGAGTTTTTGATTTAGGTTTCTATAAATTTGACAATTAAAAACATAAAACTCTTTTACTTTTATGTGTTTTTGCAACATATTATTATAATTATTAGAGAAATAAAAATAAAAACAATTTTAATACTATTAACTAAGTAAATATTTTTAGTTGTTAGTGTTCAAATTTGTTTTAAACAAATTTTTATCTTTTGATTTTTAGTTATGATTTTCATCAATTGCAAAATTTATAAAACTAAAATAAAAAACTCGAAATTACAATTACTCTAAACAAAGCGTTGGTTATCATATTTAATTCTGTTATATGCTTTTTGACGATTATGTTAGAAATTGGCTTATTTTAATATGAGCCTCCTTTTTTTTATATATATACATATACTCTACTAGTTACTTTGATGTATTTCATGGTGCTTCAAAAAAGAAAAAAAAAAAAGGGAAGTTAATTTGATGTTTATTTTTTGGGTTTTTAATTTCTTTGATAAATGGCAAAACCATCTCTCAAGTTTATCAAGAAGTAATTCCATTTTTCTATCCCCAGAAAGAAAAAAAGAAAGAAAAAAAAGTAGTAGTTCCATTTTGGTAATTAACCCTCTCAATCTTTTTTAGCCAAATAAGAAGCCCTTAAATTAGCCCAAGTTTAGTTTCTTTTAATGCATCTTGTTTGGCCCACCACCAGGTTGAGTAACTGGGCTCCCTATAGTGTGGTTTATCTATGGGTTCGTTAGTTCAAGCCCTCATATGTCACTTTCAGAAATCCCCTGCCTCTTTTCCCGTTGCCACTCTAAAAAACCACAAAAAACAATGAAAAAAAGAGAAGAAAAAGAAAAAGAAAAAGGATAGCATCTTCTTTGTTTGCTCATTTCCTAGCGCGCTGCTTGCCCTGCTACATATGAACCTCAAGAAGAACAGAATTTAAATATGAAAAAATTAAGGGGTAAAAAACACCATAAGAAGACTGAATTTTCTATTCCCCTTTGAAGCTTTTCCATTGAACCAAACAGTAAAAAAAATTGCAGAACCAAATGAAGTTAGACCCCCAGCCCATCAATGATAGAATCATAAGAGCTGCAACTTTTTGTTTGCTACTAGGCTCATGTATCACAAGATATATATGGTATGGGAACCATAAAAAAATTATTCAGAAATCATACTTTGTTCTCCCACTACTCAGGACAAGACACAACATATCTGAAATGTCAGAAAATGAATTAAAGAATTTCCAGGCCTCGAGCATTAGGCGTTTCCTTGATCCCTTAAAATGAACAACCTGTATCCAGGAAGTAAAAACTTGATAAGTTAAGGTTTTAGTGCTTCGGCTAGAAATTGATATACTCATGAAGGTCTGAAATACCTTGACATCCAGTGGCATGCCATGAAACTGGCCTGCACCCTCAGGTGGTGTCCAATTATATGTAGCACAAGGTAAAAATAGAACTGATGTCCTACCAATGTCTTCAATGAAAGGCTGTGCTTTAGTGAATCGCCTAGCATTAAACGAAGGGTGTGACTTTACAACCCAGGCAAGAGCTAACTGATCTCCAAGCATTTGAGATGCCTTCATGTATTTGGAACCATAGACTTTTAGTACTTCTTCAAGGAAAACCTTTGCCCTGCAAAAAATTTCACTTAGTAAGATTCTTTCAAGAAATTACCACAATATTTTAAGTAAATTTCCAAGACATTGTCCAGGCATGCTGGGAAACATCACTTCTGAAAAGAAATGATTAGGAGCTGTAATGTCCAGGCATGGATAGCTCAGGACAAGCACTGTGTGTAATTCATGAGTCACCATCTGCCATGAAGGCCCATGCCCCCAACTATGTCATGCCAGGAAACATGGGTAGGCGTCTAGCAGCTAGGGAGCAATAGAGTTCCATAGTTAATCCCTCACTGTCTTTCCCCCCAGGTGACCAAATTATTTTAGTTGTGTAAAGGTTAATATATTAAGACTCTTGGCACCAATAATTCTTAAGCCAAACAAGTATCTTTGAAAGGAGAACAAAAGAAAAGGGATTGACCTTAAAATCCCTTCAGCTGTACCCCTCACAGCTATAAATCCAGAGTTCAGAGGCTGATCTTTGTTGTTCCTGAAGGTGAGAGCCAAATGGAAATTTTGGTAGCTGTCAAATATATGTCCCAATTCATCAGCCACGGCTATATCTGAGTCAGTGAAGATATAATGAGTTGTATGCTCCAGTTTCTGAGATAGCTGTGCAAGCCTTGTTTTGAGAAAGGTCTACATAGGTGAAATGATAATCAATAAAAAAAGATAATGTACTTTTCATAACTAAGCATAATTAGATGATATTGGACAGCCTAGAATCTATGTTTGTCATTAACAGTAATTTAGAAAAGAAAGTACATCTTTAAAAAAAAAAAAAAATGAAAAGAAAGTTAGAGTTCTCAAACTGGAATTTGCTCTCTACTAATAAAATGGCCCATGTGAACAAAAGAATAATAAACATCATAAAATGGTGGGGCTTAACAAAAGGTTAAAGATGCCAAAAAAAAAAAAAAAAAAAAGAAGAAGAAAGTATAAAGGAGAAATACAAGACCAATTCATGAAAAATTAGGACATGACTTCTGGGGGAAAAAACTCAAGGTGATAGAACATAGCAGTAGGTAAGCAGTAAAACTATTCTACCTATTGATCAATGTGATGTGCCCTTACAATGTAAGACTTGATTCTTTGAAGCATCAACTTGTCTCGTGAATATTCGCCTTTTATGGGATATATTGTGACACTGTCTTGGTGCACTGAGAGATCAGATTGTGGATCAGTTAGAATGATCACATTGCTCTGAGGCATTGTCTCCTGAAATTTTAAATTTGGAATAATGAAATAAAATAAGTGTTCAACTAGGTAATGTACTAATGTTGGAATGCAGTTTCTTCAAATTCACACTTACAATGTGTAAGATGCATATTAATTCTAATGGCATAGTGCTGATAAAAAAAAAAAAAAGTTCTAATTCTATAGTTAATCTCATTTCAATTCGTCCGTTATCCAAACAAAAAACAAGCTAAATCAGAGAACGGAAAAAACAACTCAGTGCTGGCATGCAGAGACAATGAAGTTGGTTGTACTCATTCAGTTTCTATGAATACAAACACGAATCAATATAAACCCTAGATGCATGATAATGCATGCACATTAACTCAAGAAATACCTGAATTAAGTTAATGAAGACATTCAAAATGGCCATTGACCTCTCTGATTTACTGTATGAAGCATTGCCAACAACAGTAACCAAGTTGGACAATCTTTCATTAGGGGTGTTATAAATAGTAAAAACAGTGACAAAGGCAATGCTATGTCCAACATTCAAGGTTCGAGAAGGGGTTGAAAAAGGGGTCTTGTTGAGAGCTTTAACTCCTGAAAAAAAAAAAAAAAAGAGGAAGAAGAAATATACATAGTGTGCTAAAGGCAACAAACATGAATAGCTAATTTCCTAAAAAAAAGCAATGCTTTTGTTAAATCAGTACAGGATATATGAGGGGTTTGCAAGAACCTTGGCATTGCAAACGATTGGGCAATCCTCGTCCAGCAGCAGGTCCAAGCACCAGATGATCAAATTTCTTGGTAATTTTCTTGGGGGAATCAGCTGGAGTTGAACTTTGATGCAACTCAAAGACTGAAAATTTCGCAGAAACATCATTTTTCCCATGATTAATAATAATAAAAAAAGGGACAATATCTTTAAAAGTTGCACCGAAGAGAATAACATTGAGAGCAAAATAATAATACCTGAGAATAGAAGAGGAAGGAGAAAAACAAGAGGACATAATAAGACAAAGAAACGCCGCCACCCAACAAATGGGTTCATGTCTTAACAAGTCCTTCTTCTATTTCTGCAACAATTCGCATATCCAGAGTACAGGAAGTACAGGGCAAGTTAGTTCAACTCTTTGATAGCAGAAGCCGAAGCAGAAGCAGAAGCATAACTCCGGGAAGAAACAGAGTTTAGTTGAGGAAGAGAGATAAGATTTGGGCTGGAAAAATTCTCCCAGGTGTCTC